ATAAAATATAATATATATATATATTTCTCAACTAATTACTATATCTAAAATATTTATTTATGGTATATTCTTTATGTTTTTTATAGATAAGGAAATCAAATACGATGATTTAATGCTAATATAATAAATTTGAGTTAATTTCCTAAAACATCTTTACCTAATTTAAACATAAATATATGATTCTCATTTCATTTTTATTTGATCTTATATTATATTATTTTGAATTAACATAAAATATATATAGTTAATAAATATTAGTTTTTTTTCTGCATATGTTATGATTCAAATTTTTTAAAATGGACATATATTACTCAATCGATAAAAAAAAAAGTATGTGTGCAATCTATATTAACATTTTTGAAGAACAAATTGCGCATTTCATCATGTCATTTTTTTTATTCTGACCCAAAATTGAGTCATTCGGGTTTTTCTAAAATTTATACAATTATCTAAAATGGGACAGTATACCACGAGTAAAATTCTAAAATTAACAAATCAAAATACAATTATTTAGTATTTTAAGATAAAATTATAAATTGTTTTTGCGGGTTGGTCCAAAAACACACACTAATTTAAAAATATATATATATATATATATATATATATATATATATATATATATATTATGTAAACCATTTGAAAGTAAACTTTTAAATTGACTCGAATTATATGTCTTTTAAATAAAAGTGTTATTAAAAAATAACAAAATAATGTATAATTTCACAGGACAGGATTATATATGGTGGGACGGATTTGGGTCGATGTTAATACGGGACAATATACCACGGGTGAAATCCTAGATTCAACAAATCAAAATACAATTATACAATCTTAAACAGTAAACAAAACAAATACAACTTAAAATTTTTATTTTTTAGTTACAACGCATGTGACCTGCGGTGTACAACAAAAAATATTATACACAACAAATTCATCAATTTATAAAATGATAAAAAAAATCAAATAATTAACCCGCGGGTCATATCCTAGTATCTGAATGATTGGAGTAACAAAGTCACAAGACAAGTTTGTGGAAAGCCAAAGAAGGCAAGAACCATATAACATGGAAGGTAAAAAGTATATTGATTGACGATTGTAATCCTGTTTGGATTGAGAAAAAAACAGGAACGGATTGAACGGGCCGGTCCGACCGGATTGGATTAGTCCAATTGATTGAAATGCGAGTACAAGCTAAGGAATTGCCACAAAAAACATGCGAGTACCAACTAAGGAATTGCCACAAAAAACATGCGAGTATCCCCAGTTTTTAATTCCAAACATCAAAGACATTTGTTCCTCTAAAAAATATTAGCCCTGAGAAAACCCATAAAATGTATGCTTGTGCCTTGTGGGTCTCATACCTTTTTGGTAACAATTATTCCATAAAATCACATTATAAACTTTCCACATTGTACCATGATGCTCGAATCAAAATATCAAAATATCAAAATATCTAAACTACTAAGAAAGTCTATCATTGCTAAATAATCAAATGGAATAAACTAAATGACCAAAACACCCTTCGTTGTGCATCTAAAAAATGATTAGCCTTGAGAAAACCCATAAAATGTATACTTGTGCCTTGTGGGTGTCATGCCTCTTTTGGTAACAATTATTCCATAAAATAACATCATTGTCTTTCCACATAGTACCATGATGCTCGAATCAAAATATCAAAATATCAAAATATCTAAAATATCAAAATATCTAACATTGCTAATAATCAAATGGAATAAACTAAATGACCAAAACACCCTTCCTCGAAAAACACGTCTGCTGTGAAATCGCGTGGACATTATAGTCATTCGCCACGCAAATCATCTCCTCCAGCTTCATCAAGCAAAATGTGTTTTAATGTCTTCTTCTTCATCACCTTTTCGTCTCTCCACTCTCACACTAGAAATTACTCCATTTTTGATTTTCGTGTTTCTTGTGTCACAAATCACAATCAGAAAATTTTCTAAGCTCATCTGATTTTATTTCACTTCGAAACGGTGGATTTTTGTCCGTACGTGATTTTGATTTTCGAAGATGTGGAAGCTCTGACGTAACATTAGGGTTTCGAATTTCGATTTCTGGGGTTTTCTTGTAACTATGGCGGTGGAATATGAATGTTGCGGGACGGACTTCTTTATACACATCGGTGTGATAGTGTTACTAGTGTTGTTCGCTGGACTAATGTCTGGTCTTACTTTGGGTCTTATGTCTATGAGTCTCGTTGATCTTGAAGTTCTTGCTAAATCCGGTACACCCAGAGATCGTCTTCATGCTGGTACTTTTGATTCTTAAGAGAATTTTGATTTTGATTTTTTTTTGGAATTTTATAGGAATCGGAATCTTTAGATGTCAGGAGTCTTTGGTTTAGTTATTAATTAACTTACTAATTTGGGATTAGATTGATTTCTGGGAATATTAAATTGTAACTTGTGGATTTTGTATTGTATATTAATCTTGTTATGTTTAGCTTTTGTAAACTTTCTTGTAACCAGAACTTGGAATTAACAAGTGTTAACATCAATGACTTGTTTCCATGGTTGTCTGATCAATTTGATTGTCTTGATTCATTATCTTGACGATTCACAAGTGGGTTTTGGCTTTGTGCAGCAAAGATATTGCCGGTTGTGAAAAATCAGCATCTTTTGCTTTGTACTTTACTGATATGTAATGCAGCTGCTATGGAGGTATATTGTTAGGACTTGAACTTATTGGGTTCTTGAATGAAATTTTTATTTTAGTAATAATAACTTTTGTTTTTCAGACGCTTCCTATATTCCTTGATGCTCTTGTGACGGCTTGGGGTGCCATTTTGATTTCAGTGACGTTAATTCTTCTCTTTGGTGAGGTGAGATTTGATTTTACTTCTCTTTTTGCTGGAGTATTTTGTATTTGATGCTTAGTGGTCGCTTTAAGTCAAATTTCATGTGTATGTAATGTAATTTTGTATGATGAAGATGATTTAATTCTGCAGATCATACCTCAGTCAGTTTGTTCCCATCATGGGTTGGCGATTGGTGCAACAATGGCTCCATTTGTTCGTGTTCTAGTATGGATCTGCTTACCAGTTGCATGGCCAATTAGTAAGGTGATTAAATGCTCACTCGATTCCTTTGTATTGGGGTTATTAGTTGTGCGGGAGGTTCCCAAGAGCGAGTGCCCTGCACATAGAGTCTTTGTCCTGAAACAGTCGTTGATGCATTTTGGTCTGCTGTATATATTCCAGCTGCTGGACTTTCTACTAGGTCATGGTCATGTAGCCCTTTTCCGAAGGGCTGAGCTGAAAACACTTGTGGATTTGCATGGAAATGAGGCATGTCTTCGATTTCTCTGATATCTCAAATTTTGAGTTTATACAACTGTTCCACATGCCTTTTCCTCATCTTCAAGTTGACAAGTTTCCATTTATGCGGTTTATGTTTTGTTTTTAGCGAAATAACGTAGCATTCAAATTCTTTCAGGCTGGTAAGGGTGGAGAGTTGACACATGATGAAACAACAATCATTGCTGGAGCTCTTGAACTATCTGAGAAAATGGCTAAAGATGCAATGACACCAATTTCTGACACTTTTGTGATTGATATCAATGCCAAACTTGACAGGTCTTAGTTTGTTCAACCCCCTGCACGGATTCCTTAATTCTCTAAATCATTCTAAACTTAGTTTCTTTGTCCGTTGCCAGGGAATTGATGAATTTAATTCTTGAGAAAGGTCATAGCAGAGTCCCAGTATACTATGAGCAACGTACCAACATAATTGGACTTGTTTTGGTAAGTTTCTATCTCATGATACGTTAAAATCATTTTCCAAGCAGCAGAAGAATCTTAGTAGCAAAGCGGACAAAAATTTCTTTTGTATCTGCTTGTTTAGACTCCTAAATTTATCTTCAGGTAAAGAACTTACTAACTATCAACCCAGATGAAGAAATACAAGTCAAGAATGTGACAATACGAAGGATTCCAAGGTATCTTTACCAACTAAAGTTTTATTTCCAGAATTAAACAATTTAAGACTCGTTTAATGTGTGCTTCAATAGTTGATTGCTTGTTCTTCTTCTGTTGTTCCTCCCATGCACTCCAGAGTTCCAGAAACCTTACCGTTATATGATATATTGAACGAGTTCCAGAAAGGACATAGCCACATGGCTGTTGTTGTGAAACAGTGTGACAAAATTCACCCATTACACAATAATGATGCTGCAAACGGTAACTGGTTTTTCATCGTGGGAATAGCAATGGGGATGGAAAATTCTTACACAAACTAATAGCTTCCTCTCAACTTTAAATAGAGACTGTAAATGAAGTCAGAGTGGATGTGGATAATGAGAAATCCCCACAGGAAACAAAGTTACAGAGAAGGACATCACTTCAGAAATGGAAGAGCTTTCCAAACCGAGCGAATTCGTTTAAAGCAGGGTCGAGGAGCAAGAGGTGGTCCAAGGATAACGATGCTGACATTCTGCAAATTAACGAACATCCACTTCCAAAGCTAGATGAGGAGGAAGATGCTGTTGGTATCATTACCATGGAAGATGTCATTGAAGAACTTTTACAGGTATAAATTAACAAATATTCCCTCTTCAATTCTCATAACTTTTTCTTATTATTTTATTTAAATTCAGTTGTCATTTGTTTGTGAATGTGACTGTAGGAAGAGATATTCGATGAGACGGATCATCATTTTGAAGACTCGTGACAGTCTAGTGCTCAATATTAGTTGTTTGAACCATATACATGGTGCTATACCTCAGAAGATCCAATTTCCACTGGACAAGTTTTGCTGCGAAAGAGTCGTATACTCGTATATATATACAAGTCAGATCATATGTCATGTAATAACACTGCTTCTAATTAGGGTATAGTATAGTTATTTCCCTATCTACAAACATACAACACAATTCTCCAAGCAGAGAATCCTTGCATCTGCGAGTAGAAAAAAAGTGCTCGATATGTCAAAAGTGCAATGTCATAGTTTATAATCAGAACCAAAAGCAGACATGAGAAATAAAGGAAAATTTGGTAAATTTCAAATCCCAGGGAGAAACCATCGAGCATCTTTGAGCTTCAAGTTGGAGAGCCTAGGGAAGCGTTTGAGGGTCTTGGTTTCGAGATTGAACACACAGATGTGCAGGTTTATATCCTGACGGTGTAAAACACGGTCTTGATGGAGTTTGGTTCGATACCAGGCATAGTGATACCCAAGTCAAGAAGCAGAGCCTCTTCATCTCCTAGAGAATCTACCTCAACAAGCGGCGGGTCGTAGTAATTAATTTCATTAGGACCGTGCTTGTAGAGTCGGAAGCTCTTATCACTTTCAATGTTTTTCTTGTCAAGGTTGTTCTGGAACATTAAAACCTCTCCTGCTGTTGTAACCACAATGCTACAATTGGTTTTATAATAACATGGATTAAACCATTTCAATGGGTAAATTCCAGTAACCTCCTCGAAACGTTCTTGTTTAGACAAATCAAGGAATCGAATGTAACCACGAGGCGTAGCGATATAAAGAAAGTAACCATGGAGTACCATATCTGATACACCTCGATACTCCGGGAGGAAGTAACATATCTCAATGTAACTGTAATGATCACCACCTTTCTTGCAATAGGCTAGAAATTTGCAATTGTAATCGAAGAACCAAACTACAACAAACTCTTTTGTTTTCTTGTCTACCCACAAAAGACCTCTTAAAACTTCGCCTATTGTGTAAAAAACATGACCATCATGGTGATCAGTTACTTGCAATTTGAATTTCTTATCTCCTAGTCGCTCTAGGGTAAAATAATCTGACTGGAACGACTCTAGAGGCGGAAGATCGATCCTATTCTCGCTAAACACATCTATGATATAGAGATTGGATTTAGAATCCATCACAAGAAACCAATTACCCGAGTTTGCAAGGAACATAGTCCCTGAGAAGTCTCTTACGGATTTGTAAATCCTGTATTCCTCTGGATTGTACAACAGGCAACCATCGTCTCCATCTGGAAATAGCATTAGCCATGGAGATCTGTTTTGCTGGGGAACTGTTTGTTTCGAAATCGAATTCCAGTTCGAACACACAAACTTAGTACGATGTAAATCCGAAAAACTCAATCGTTCAAAAATAGATCTCAGCAAATCATGAGGGAGCTCTGACCAGGTGCGAAGGTTAGGAGTAGTATCCAAAGTGTTTGGACGTTAATGCTTGTGTAATGCTTTCTCTTTAATAAATAGGGTTTCGACGTTAGTAAAAAGGTTAAAAGGGTTTGGACGTTAATAATAATACTAGGGTTTGGACGTTAATGCTTGTGTAAAAAGAAAAGTTTTTTTGGTAATTCGTATCGGGGAATTCTGATATTTCGGGTTTGATCGGGTAAAATTTGGGTAATTCGGATATTTTGGGTTTAATCGGGTATTTTGGATCCAAATCTGGAACCAAAACCAAACTTATCTATGTTTCGGTTAGATTTCGGGTTCCCAAAATTTTTTTAGAAGAATCTCAATCCGAAAATGTCCAAGCCGATCCGAACCCAAAATCATTGAGATACTATTCTGATTCTAAACATCCCAATCCGAATTATCTGATATGAATCTGAAATCCGAACACCAGGCCATGTTGCAGCTTGGTTATCATTTGATCTTCTCTTTTTGGTTTTAATGTTAAGATTTAGTCAAGAAGTTAAAAGTTAATACAACGGTTAGTTTATGTGCTTCAATAGTTGATTGCTTGTTCTTTTGTTTTTCCTTCAAAAAGTATATATATTAATCTTTTCTACTTACTCTTACGAAGGTACCTTTTTAAATTTTGAGCTTACGTACCATTTTTATTAACTTGCTGAAAGGTAGAGAAAGGTAGAGAGTTGATGAAATCCGTCAGCTTGGAGGCGAGCCGAGACCATTGAATGTAACGGAACCAGGTGCCGGTGGAGAGATGATTCTTGATTTTTATTATTTGAAAGAGTTGAGTGGGAACAGAATGTTTGTCTAGACTAGCTAGCTTACTTCTGATGATTTGTTGTATCTTACGAACAAGTTGACGTGTCCTTTAAGAAGTAGCTGAGGAGGAAGACGTCGTTGGCATCATTACGGAGATGTTTTAGACTAACGGTTCTCACAGTCAAAATTTTTGTTTGCTTTTGTTTACATGTGAAAATCTGATACAAAAAATACAAGTTTATATGTCCACGAATGAGTTCAAAAGGGAGGACTCATCATATCAAAAATGCAAAGTGATTGTTAAAGTCCAGCAAGTGTTGCCTAAAGCCAGAATTTTCATAGTTTATAAGCAGAACCGAAAGCACCAAAAGGAATAGGCACGAAAGAAAAGGCTATAAGATATAGAAAATACAGGAAAAGTTTAGAATTTTCAACTGCCAAGGACAAACCATGAGCATCTTTGAGCTTCAAGTTGGAGAGACTAGGGAAGCGTTTGAGGGTCTTGCTTTCGAGATTGAACACACAGATGTCCAGTTTTGAATCCCGCCGGCAAAAACAACGGTCATCACGGGAAAAATATATGGAGTTTGGTTCGATACCAGACACAGTGAAACCCATGTCAAGAAGTAGAGCCTCCTCATCACCTAGAGAATCTACCTCAATAAGCGGATTGGAGTATCTATCTGGGTCTACATTAGGATCCTTCTTGAAGAGACTGAAGCTCTTACCGCTTTCAATATTTGTCCTTTTAAGGTTGTTCCGAACCAACAAAACCTCTCCTGTTGTTGTAACTACAATGCTATCGAGGTAAACCTATCTCTCGAAAATCCCATTTAGTTAACATTGTCAATGGGAAATTTCCAGTAACATCCTTGATTTGTTGTTAGAATCGAATATAAGCATGAGTTGTAGCGATGTGAAGAGAATAACCATGGACTGTAACATAGCTCATTGAGACTGTAATGATCATCACCTTTCTTGCAAAAGCCTAAAAATATGCAAGAGTAATTGAAGAACCAAACTACAACAAACTCTTACGTTTTCTTGTCTACCCACAAAAGACCTCTTAAAATTTCGGCTATTGAGTACAAAACAAGACCTTCATGGTGATCAGTTACTTGCAATTTGAATTTCTTATCTCCTAGTCGCTTGAGGGCAAAATTATCTGACATGAGTTACTCTAGAGGCGGAAGATCGATCCTATTCTAGTTGAATACATCGATAATATAGAGATTGAACGAGAATCTATTACTAGGAACTAGTTACCGTAGTTTGCAAGAAATCGAATACCAGAGAAGTCTCTCCCCAATTTGTAAATCCTGTCTTCGTCTGGATTGTACAGCACACAATTTTCTTCTCCGTCTGGAGATAGTATTAGCCATGGAGATCTAATTTCTTGGGGTACTGTTAGTTTCGAACTTGAATTTTTTTTTTTTTTTTTTTGTTTTTGTTTTTGTTTTTGTTTTTGTTTTTTTTTTATAAACCCTATCGGCTATCCGGTCGGCCCCGGTAGAAACGCACCAAGATGCTACATAGTGGACTGGTCCACCGTGTTAACGGTTAGGTCTTTACGGGCTACCATTCGGCCTATCCCGAGTTTGGAATGCCTGCATTTCTGGCTACCAAGTAAACCAATTGGGCCAAGGCCCAACTGACAGACTTCCCAAACAAATGTGTTTTTGTTTCCAGGGAGAATCGAACTCAGGTTTGGGAGTTTCACCCTTTCCCAAAGCTTCCTCTACTACTAGACCACATATGCTTGGGCAATCGAACTTGAATTCCAGTTCATACGAGCTTAGCACGTTGGAAATCTGCAAAACTCAATCATTCGAAAATAGATATCAGCAAATCAGGAGGGAGCTCCAACCAAGTGTCAGGATTAGGAGTCTTCATAGGGTTTGGAGTTTAATTTGGACCTTAATGCGTATGTAATGCTTGGTCGTTATAAATAGGGGTTGGACGTTAATAATTAGCTAGGGTTTTGGACGTTAATAATTAGCTAGGGTTTTGGACGTTAATGCTTGTGTGAAAAGGAAAAAAAAAAAGAACGAAAAAAACAATATAATAACATTGAGTGTAAATTAGATATGGAAAACTAGAAATTATTTCAAAAGTTGAATTATGTGTTTTTTTTTTTTTTCTTTTTGTGAAGAATTTGAAAATTTAGAAATGCTATTGTTTTGGAAGGAAGCCATTGGTTCGTAACCCAAATATGATAAGTATTTATCAAAAAAAAAATATGATAAGTAAATCCATTGCAAATGCATAAGTTTGTGAGGAGGTAAATAAGAAGCCAGTATCATGAGAGCAAAATAGTTACCAACACACCCCAAACAACTTCATATGTTTGCATTATTAACAGACAAACTATCTGAAAGTAACCAACAAATTATGGGCCCCATTGTAATTTTTCAAAAATACCATTATTCATGTTATTCTTTTTTGTTTAAAATGGGGCCTCATTGTAGTAGGAAAAATAAAATTATTTGTGTTTTTCCCTATAATAATTTTTTTTTCCTAAAATAGGAGCTTCTTTGTAATAAAAAAAAATCTCCTAAAATGGGGATCCCATTTCAATGTTTCATGTCTATAGGTTCAAGTCCGACTCTCTCTGAAACTAATCTCTCTTTAAATCCAACTCACCATGACCTGCTTGGTTATAATTTGATGTTCATAGTAATTAATTTTAGAAGTTGTAGCCGAGGTAAACTCACTGCAACAGTCTATTTCTTATATTCAATCATATGCATAAGATTAATTAAGTTTTGCATCTTACTTTAATAAAAATATTAAGTTTTCATGGGTTCCCAACAGGTTATGGACCTGCATGCTACATTACAAGAAGTCTACCTAACTTTTGCAAAAATATTTTTTAGGGTTTTTTTGTGAACATTTCAAGGCCCTTTTAAAAAGGTAATCTTGTTTTTTATGCCTAAAATTATAACTATATTAGAATATTTGATAACATCGTATTTTAGCCCACTTTTACTATGTTTTATTTAGCTTTTTCACAGAAAAAACAGGAGATATTGGAGATCTCAAGGATGTTTCCAAGTATTTATGCTTCAAGGATGAATAATGTGTTTTCAAGCAAAAAAGAGTAAAAGTCGATCAAATCCCGTTTCAAGACAGTTTATGTACCTCAGAAGTATGGCGTCCGTTCGAGGTCTTCCCGATTACCAAATCAAGAGATCTCAGTGGCTATGGAAAGATAGGAGAGTCAAGATTCACCTCAAAGATGTATCCGAGCTTTTCATCAAGCCAATCGGAAGTTATGCTCTGAGGAGTGAAGACATGTTCCAGACCGGCCAAACAGCCTCGCGTCTGGTCCGGAGCCTTCTGACGCCCCCGGCCGTGGAGCCCATGCCCGGGCTGCTCTTCACACCTCACCCCGGTCGTACCTAGTCGTGCCCTGTCCAGAAACTCGAGCCTCACTTAACCTAATTCGTGGGAAATGACGGTTTTGCCCCTTGACCTAATCGAAGCCTATAAATACCGAGACAAGTTGAAGAAACCCTACGGCTTCTTCACAGCTTCCTCACCGCCTCCTAAACCTAGAACTCGCAGCCTCCATCGACGAGAATCTCAGCTCTCCTAGCTCCACCTCGTCGAAGCTCTTGCATCCCGAAGAAGTGGTCCTTTGAAGCTCTCTCTTTTGTTCTTCATTGTTTTCTCTTCTACTCTTTCTTCTACTCTTTCATTCAAGACTTTTGGGGAGACAAGTATCTTCTGTGACACTAGAGAAGTTTCCTTTGAACCCCCTTTGTTTATTATACTCGTTTATTTATGCTTTTTTACTTCATCTCCATGTCGTTTCTTAGCATCATGAGCGAGTGGTTTTCTTTGTTGGGTTTTATGGGGTGATTCAAAGGGGATTTCATGGTTCAAATCATATTAGGTTATTAGATCCGTTTATTTCGTTCATACTTTGATTCTTTTGGGACATCTTTTACTTAATGCATGTGTTTGGATTGATCACCAAACGCTGATCTAAGAGGTTAGGAGCTCTAACCGGGTAAACCTAATCTCTTATATAGTGTTACTAATCCTTCGTGTTGTTGCCTGCGTAAGTTGAGTAACAGGACTTAGAGTACTTAGCGAATCCAACCCTAATGCGTCGAATTATGCGTCGTTTCCTGCGTAAGTTGAGTAACGGAGTATAGGGAGATTTACCGGCTTATTCTATAACCTAGGATAACTCGTTCATTCCCCTTTCGTAGTTATGAACTAGAACGAAAACATAGAAACCCTAGAGATCTAAA